CTTTTTGGCTGATTGAATTTTTCTTTTTTTAAAAACATATCTTGTGTGATCTGTTAGTGATAAATTCTGTAGCTTTTGTTTGTCAAAAATATCTTTATTTCGCCTTTGTTTTTGAGGGATAATTTTGCTGGGCATAGAAAAAAATTCTATCCTGACAGTGCTGTTTCTTACACTAATTTAAAAATGTTACTCTCTTGTCTTCTCACTTAAATTATTTTGGGTGAGAAATCTCAATGTTTCCTTCTTTTGTATTATGATTTTTCTCTGTCTTCTTTAGAGATTGTCTTTATCTCTGACTTTGAACAGTTTGATCATCAAGTGGCTTTATGTATTCTTCCTCATATTTCTGATGTTTAGAGTTTATTGAATTTCTTGGATTTGCGAGTTTATGATTTTTTTATTAAATTTGGAAAAATTTTGGCCTTTATGTTTTCAAAAAGTTTTTTGGCCCTCCACCTTTTGAGGTGATTAATATGTATTATACTACTGCAAGCTATGCCCTATGGCTTGTGTATGCTCTCCTTTTTTCCACTGATCTTTTTTTTTTTTTCTATCTGTGTTTCCTTTTAGATACTTTCCGTTGCTGTGCCTTCATGTTCACTAACTTTTTCTTCCTCATTTTCTTATATATTATTAATTCCATTCCTTATATTTTTCATCACCCACATGGTAATTTTCTTCTCTGGAAGTCCAATTTGTGTCTATTTTTCATATATTCCATGCCTCTACTTAACTCTTTGAACATCTAGGACACTTTTATAGTTTAATGTCCTTGTCTGCTAATATCTTTGTCAATTCTGGGTCAGTTTCTTTTCTTTTCTTTTCCTTTTTCTCTCCAATTTCTTGTTTAAATTCCAATTAGTTGGGGTGCCTGTGTGGCTCAGTCAGTTCAGCTTCTGGCTTTGGCTCAGGTCATGATCTCACAGTTCGTGGGTTCGAGCCCCACATCGGGCTCTGTACTGACAGCTAGCTCAGAGCTTGGAGCTTGTTTTGGATTCTGTGTCTCCCTCTTTCTCTGACCCTCCCCTGCTCACGCTGTCTCTCTCTCTCTCTCAAAAATTTAAAAAAAAAAATTTTTTTTTTAATTGTTTTAAATTCCAGTAAGTTAACATGTACTGTAATACTGGTTTCTGGTATAGAATTTAGTAATTCATCACTTATATACAACACCTAATGCTCATCACAACAAGTGCTCTCCTTAATCCCATCACCTATTTAACCCATTGCCCCCTACCCACCTCCCCTCTGGTAAACATCATTTTGTTTGTATAGTTAAGTCTATTTTATGATTTGCATTGTTCTCCCCCCTGTGTTCATTTGTTTTGTTTCTTAAATTCCACATAGAAATGAGATCATATGGTATTTGTCTTTCTCTGACTGTCTTATTTCACTTAGCATAATACTCTCTAGCTCCATCTGTGTCGTTGCAAATGACAAAATTTCATGCTTTTTGTGGCTGAGTAATATTCCATTGTGTGTAAGTTTCCACTGGTTGAATTTTCTCCACATTATGGATTGTGTTTTTATGCTTCTTTACATCCTGGTAATCTTAATTGGATACCAAATATCATGAATTTTGTTGTATGCTGAATACTTTTTATCACTATAGCCCTTAGTGAAGTTGTTTGGACACACTTTGATCCTTTGAGGTCTCACTTTAAGATTTGTTAAATTGTACTTGACCAGATTTTATGGCAAATTATTTCCCAGTCTTGAGGCAAGACCCGTCTTTGTATTCTACCCAATATTTCATGAAGTATTTGATTTTCCAATCTCTTTAGTGGAATCCTGTACTATTCCAGGCCCTGTGAGAACATGGACATGGTCACTCTAATCCTCACTGATGACTTCTTTTCCTGGCCTCAGGTAGCTTTCTCACATGCTTGTACTGATCAGTACTCCACTGAATACCTGAAGGAGACTGTCCACAGAACTCCAGAGTGCTCTGTCTATTCTCTCTCTTCTCTGGTACTCTGCTCTACAAACTACTCTTGCATTACTTTTCTATAGACTCTTAGCTTCATCTCTTCAACTTAGGGAGTCTGCCTGGCTATACCTAAGTTCACCCTCCTCCCTCCATGGCCTGGAAATTCTCTAAGGCATTAGGTGGTGTATTGGTTTGCTAGGGCTACCATAACAAAATAGCACAGCCTTGAGTAGCTTAAATAACAAAAAAAATTATTTTCTTACAGTTTTGGAGGGTAGTGTCCAAGATCAGGGTGTTGACAAGCTTGGTTTCTTGGTTTCTTGTGAGACCTTTCTTCTTGACTTTGCAGATGGCAGCCTTCTCCCTGGTCTTCATGTCATCTTTTCTCTCTGCTGTCATTCCTGTATTCTCCTTGAATGACCAATCTCCTCTTATAAGGAGGCTAGTCAGATTGGATTAGGGTCCATCTTAATCTCATTTAAACTGAATCATCTCTTTAAAGGCCTTCTATCCAAATGCTTTTACATTCTATAGTACTTCAACAAATGAATTTTGAAGTATTGCACAATGTGCGTCAACAAATGAGTTGGGGGGGGGACATAATTCTGCCTATAGCATAAGGTTAATCATAGAGCTCATCTTGTTTTTATCTTGTCTCTCAGGGATCACTGTCCTATGTTGCCTGATGGTCTTGAAAACTGTTGTTTCAAATATATTTTTTGTGATCTATCATCTATCTATCTATCATCTATCTATCTATCTATCTATCTATCTATCTATCTATCTTTTAGCAGAAGAGTAAATATAGCCCTTATTATACCATCTTGGCCAGCAGCAGAAGTTTGAGCCCAGTTTCTTAACCACTATTCAATACAGTATTCCTCACGTTGCCCTGCCACAAACATGCACAGAAATTTATAGGCTTACTCCTACTAGGAAACATTAGTTAACTTACTGTAGTCTGATTGAGATCCCGCTACTATTTATTTTCATCATATGCTGCAACTTCATAGACCCTGTAGTTGGTTATATTTGCTGACTTGTGTGTTTTGCTAAATCATAAGTTCCATGAGGTCAGGGATGTACCCCAGAACCTACATAATGCCTGACATAGTAAGAACCCAAAAATACTTGTTGAGTGAATGGATATTTTATGTCAACCCCCCACCTTCCAAATCATATATAGTTTGGACAATGATAAAAGATTTAAAGTCTAAAAGTTGAAACATATCAAATGTGAGATATTTATCTTTAATGCCCTTTCATGAGTGTAAACATTTAGATGTAAAGACATCTGGCTTCTTCTCCAGTATCATGTGAGAGGAGGCCACTCTTATGTGGAAGGTCCCTGTCATAACCTGGCCTTCCCTTTATTCCCCTGTCCTCTCCTTCCTTACCCCTTATCCTGTTATTTTTCATCCCTGTGAGACAGGTATTATTATTGTACATCTAAGGAAGCAGAAAATCAGAGAGTTAGTAACTTACTAAAGAATAAAGGCAGATTCCAGAACTGATTGATCCAAAGAGATTAAAATCATGTTTCTTGGCTTACTTGGCTTCCAGTACTCTCTAAAGTTTTCAAATCAAAAATATCCCTTAAAGTCCTAATGGAATTGATTCTTCTTATGAGACTTGTATTATTCCAAGCCTGACTTTCAAATACTCAGTATTTTACCCAGTAATTTACTCAGTATTTTTTTTAGGCGATTAAGTTTTCAACAATATTTTCTGTTGTTCTCATGCAAATATACAGTTTTCTAGGCATATTATTCATTTCCTAGGCTCTTGAGACTGTCTCAGAATCAAATTGCTGGATATAACCTTTATAAAAACCTAATTTGGCAAAATGCTACCCATATTCTAAATCTTAAGCTTGAAAAAATATTGTATAAACACACATATATGTATATACATACATAAGTCCCGACATACACTTTTTGGAGTGCAGCACCTTTATAATTTGGGAGCTTTAAAATTTTGAGTTTGTATGGTGTTTGGGAAATCACTGGTCTGTCATTTGGTACTTGTCAGAAATGCACACAGTAAAGCTGCAAAGGGATTAGAGGATAAAGAAATGACATGAAAGTAGTTTAGGCAAGTAAATCAGTGCTAATCAATCCAACTTTGGAGTTTATTGTATCAAAAATACATACATATGTATTTGTATATAGCAGTCTATCCCATATATATATATTTTTGAAAAAACATGATTTCTTTCCTAATTAATTTTACCTCTGGCTGAATATATGTTACAGTAAGTGTACTTTAGAAGAATCCTAAATAATTGCAAACTGTTAACATTATGCTATAGATAAACTTCATGCAGATAACTGAGACTAGGCTAGTAGGCAAGTCAGTCCTAGGCAACATCACAAAGGTGGCCACATTCCTGTTTGTGTGTCCCTACCACCTTTCATTGTCTGGTGCTTTTTCATTTCCTGTGGCACATTAGTGAGCAGGTTTCACCACCTAGTCACAACAGACCATCATAATATAATAATTGCTCATTTTTTTGAGCACTTACTTTGGACAAGGCATTCTGTACAGAGATTTATACAGATTATAGAAATTTAATTTTCACCATTGCCCTAGTGGTAAGTACTATTATTAACCTAAGTTATAGCTGGAGAAACTACAGTAAAGATTCATCAACTTGCCCAAACTCAATGTTTGCTGTAGTGGGATTCACATCTGATGGAGGCACATTTGCATCTAACTCCTCTGTCTAGATGCTTAACACCTGCCTCCTCGGATCCAAATGGTCCATCTTTTCCTCCATAATTGAGAGCAGTTTTCTTTCCTGACAGTGGGGTAATACTGGATTGTTTCAGGAAACTAATCCATACTCATCTTTAAAACTTTTATGTTTTCCTCTTATTTAGCAGTAGTATCCCACACTAGGAATTAAAATATGTAAAAAAAAAAAAAAAAAAACCCACAAGGATTCTGGCATGCTGGGGGAAAGAGGAGCAGGGCAAATTGCTCTAGGGACAGATACGTAAGATCTGTATATCCATTCACCGCTGAAAGTTCACGATTGCTGATTTCCTCCTGGTATATTTCCATTATTCAGTGCCTTGCTACATGGGAATCCTTCCTTGCATCACAGACTGACCTCCACATGGAAGAACCTTCTGAAGATAAACCTGAATCCCATTGAGGACTTCTGTGTGATCTTTGGGAGACAGCATCTATTAACCAAAGTTGTTCTTTCTGGATGGACTGTGTCCTTCATAAAGTGGATGAAAACGTTTAGCACTATCTGGAAAACCAACAGCTTGAAACTCAGGTATTCCAGATCATTGACATGAATTTGGATATATATATGTATACACACACACACATAGAATATATATATACACATACATAAGAATATATATGTATGTGTATATATACACACATAAAATTATATATGTGTGTGTATATATATATATATTTAGCTTAGTTTTTATTTTAAATTTATGTGCCAATAATTACATATAGAAATTTTTTGCCCAAATATTTGTTTGTGAAATATCTCATTTTAAATATATCATGAAGACTCAGTTTTAATAAAAAGTTTAATATAAAATGACTGGCTATGGTGTGTTCTTTTTGTACTAGTAGTTCAAGCCTCTGAAACAGATTCTGACAAGAATTCAACCTATGTGGAGTGCCTGGCTGGCTCAGTCAGTTAAGTGTCCAACTCTTGGTTTCTGCTCAGGTCATGATCTCACAGTTCCTGAGTTTGAGCCCTGTGTTGGCTTCCTGCTGCCTGCTGGAATTCTCTCTCTCTCTCTCTCTCTCTCTCTTTCTCTCTCTCTCCCTCCTCTGCTCATGTGTTTTCTCCCTCTCTCTGTCTCTCTCTCTCTCAAATAAACTCTAAAAAAAAAAAAGAATTAAGCCCGTGTTACCAAGCATATTATGCATTCACCTTTATTTCATCATGATTTCTCTAAAGTACTATTCTCTCTGACATTAGGAACTTGAAGTAAATATACAAAAATTATCTAGTGGTATAAAACATTAACAATAACTGTTCATATGTTGGTTTGATAAGAGTTAAGTAATTGTTTTCCACAATTAAAAAAAGTTACCAAGTTATACTAATTTGGACTTAAATTTTAAAAAATTAAAAATAAACACAGTCAAGCATCTCAAAAAAAAAGTTACCAAGATAGATTGATATTAGTATTTGAGTTATTAGTAATCCTATACAATCTAGTAATCTAGTAATATTGACCATACAAAGTGATTTTGTGTTTATTTTATGGATATATTTAGAAACTGAACATGTTATTTAATATTTGCTAAGTTTTTGAAATAGATATTTTTCAAGACTGAGGTTTGAGGATTTGGTCATACATGTTACTCTACATGCATGACTTCAAGTATCATTTGGGTATTAGCACTTAAATCCGTGTCACAAAAAGAACCTAGACCTTTAAATTATTTTCATCAAAAGAGATACACGAATGCAGATATAAAGCTAAATGTTTTTCATAAATGCTGGCATGTATAATTATTAAACCATTTATAATAAAGACTCTGGCTCCATTTTTTTTTTTATGTTACAGCACTGGTAGCTTTTAAGCACATGTCCCCTTTCCCCTCCTGCCCACATCTGGGAAGCCTGCTAAGAAAGCCCCAGTGTTTCCCCTTTGGCCCTGATGTGAAGTTCAAACCGTATAACCTCCTCCCTGCAAGAACCCGCCCCCAGAAACACCACAAGAACCCCAAGCCATTCTCCTTCCTCAGCTCTCTCAAACCATTTTCAGAACAGCCTGAGAGGCCTGCCCCAGTATCCCCAGAAGGCCTCATTATGTAAGTAATAAACCTTTTCATACCATCTTAGTGTGTTTGTGGCATCACTAAGCTTGATGTCTAACAAGTTTTGGGTGAGAATCCTTCCTATTTATCAGGATGGCCCCAACCATATTGTTTTGCACGCTATCTTACTACTCCAAACTGTGTTTTCCCCATCTAGAGATAATGGAGATACTAATCTCTAACTCACAGGTTGTTAAAATGATATAGTAAACTTAGAACACCTACCATTGGGAAGTAGGGTGTGGGAGAATTGGGTGGAGGTGGTTGCAAGGTACAAACTTGCATTGTATCCTGGGGATACAATACACAACATATTAACTATAGGCTAACAATACTGTATTGTGTATTTTTAAGTTACTAAGAGAATATATCTTAAAAGTTCTCATCACAAAGGAAAAAAGTTGTAACTGTGCTTGTGTGATAGATGTTAATTAGTCTTATTTTGGTAATCATTTTGCAGTAAGTTATAGTATCAAATCATTATACACCTTAAACTCATAAATATTAGATGTCAATTATATCTCAGTAAAACTAGGGAAAGAAGGAACACCTACCAGAGAATTGGTAGCCAGTAAGGCCGTTAATTATTTAAATGGAAATCACATAAAAATGCTTTATTTTTAGGTACAGTGCCTTTCTTTTTCCTCTTTAGTTTTGCATGTCTTTCCACCCTCTTTTCCTTTCTATCAACATGACTGCAGTCTCCCATCCATATCATGCATACCCTCGCAGGTGCATCCTCTTAACTAGTATATATCCTTCCTTCCATTTTTCTATGCTCATAGTATTTGGTAAAGACTTACACACACACATACACACACACACAGTTTTAAAATTCATTTTATAAAAATGAGGTCCTAATATACATGCTATTTTACCACTTGTTTGGTCATTCCACAATATCTTGTGGAAATGTTCAAAGTCAAAAATAGCTCTAAAACATTTCCTAAATGGCTCTACAACATAACATGTTGTGAATATGTAGTAATTTATACAGAAATTTTCTTATTTATAGTTACTTACATTGCTTCTAGGTTTTCACCACCTCAAAAAGAAACCCCATGCCTTGTGGCTATCACTTTCTAACCACCACCACCTCCCATATCCCCAGGCCTAAGGAACCACACTAGTCTGCTATTCCTTTTATTTCATATCAATGGAATCCTATAGTATGTCATCTTTTTTGACTGGCTTCTTTCATTTAACATGTTTTCTACAAATATTTTAGCATTTGTCAGTACTTTAATCTTTTTTTAAAAAATGTCAGAAATATTCCATTTTATGGATATGCCACATTTTGTATATCCATTATATTTGTTTATTCTTTCATTGAAAGACATATTATTTTTAATTTTGTCTGTTATGAATTATGACGCCATAAAGTTGGTGGATTCATTTTGTGAGAACATATATTTTCATTTCTCTTGGGCCTATACATAGGAGTGGAATTACTGGGTCATATCACAACTATATTTAACCATATAAGGAGTTGCCAGGTTGTTTTCCAAAGTGGCTACTCAGTTTTGCATTTCAACCAGCAGTTTATGAGGACTCTGATTTCTCCACATGCTCATGAATGCTTGTTAATTTCTGTCTTTGTTTGTTTGTTGTTGTTGTATTATACCCACCCTACTGGGTGAAATTGTATCTCATACTTTGAATTTGCATTTCCTGTTGCATCTTTTGATGTGTTTATTGGCCATTTGTATATATTCTTTGGAGAAATGTCTTTTCAGATCTTTTGCCAATTTTTAAAGTGAGGTTGTTGTTTTATTGTTGAGTTGTAGGAATTATTTATATGTTCTAGATAAAAATCCCTTATCAGATCATGATTTGCAAATACTTCTTTTCACTTCTTGGTAATCCACTTTGAAGCATAGAAGTTTTTCATTTTGATGAAGTTCATCACTTATGTTTATTTTTCTTTCCTTGCTTATGCTTTTGGTGTCATTTTTAAGAATCCATTCTCAAATCTGGGGTTATTGAAATTCACCCCTATGTTTTCTTCTAAGAGTGTTAACTTTTAGGTTTAGGTCTTTGATCCATATTGAGTTAATTTTTGCATACGATGGGAGGGAGAGACCCAGTTTCATTCAGTTGTCCAACACTGTTTGGTAAAGGGACCATCTTACAATTTTCACCACTGGGGAATGAGTCCCTTCAACTCCTGACATTGTCATCCTAGAAATGGAACTCGTGTTGCAGCTTTTGTACTGATTGTTGTGATGTGTGTTATGATGGTGGTTGTTGTTAATATGGAAATTGACTACCTGATACCCCATCACAAAAAATTCCTTAACAACAGCAAAATGACTCATTTGATTTTTAGTTAAAAGAAAGATTTACCCTGAAGTTTACATGTACTTTTCATTCAACACATGCCATCTTTCAATAACTGCTTCCCAAAACACAGATTTCCTTTTTTCAGTTAATTTTCTCTGAGCCATATAGCCTTTCAGAAAAGACCAAGAAGGAATTTAAGTGTATGTGCCAGTAGCTGTTATATAGAATTGGTAATAGACTTAGTGTGTTTTGAAAACAGTTTAAGTCCATCTTGTAATATTGCTTGTAGCCAGGTATTACTATTTTTTATTCTGAGGATTCTACCCCTCTCCCCTTTCATTCCAGTTACCTAGAGGGAAATTAAAAGTCTTTCTTACCTCAACTGGCTATTCAAAGCAGAAACATCAATGCTGAATTTCTCTGCAGTTTTGACTTGAAATCCTAGGGGAGGGGGCAACTAATTTCCTGTGTTCATGGGAAAGGAGGCTGAACTTGGATGAAAGTCATCATTATGGAGGATGACTCATGTGAGCTTTGGTGTCAGTGGGCTCAGGTATAAGATCCAATTTGGGGATATTACTTATCTGGTCCAGTTTGTGCTTTTGTTGTTGTATTACTAGCAGTTGATTGACTAGAAAACATATATGCTCCATTTTTAGAGAATTACAAACACATACACACACACATACACTTTAAATAGGAAATCATCATTGGGCATGTTTTAGTTCAAAGAGGGCACAAGTAAAAGTCTGGATTTGTTTTCTTCTTTTTTTCCAAGACTACCTTGAAGATAAGAGGCTCTAAAATGAAGATAAGTCCATGTATGCTATTTACCATCTATTTCATAATTTCTTTATCTTAGCTTTGCTTTAAATAGGTTTGTAACTTACTATATTTGTTTCAAACTCAACACTTGAATCTATGCCTTGATCAAACCCTATAATGGATTGATTTTTTTTATTGTGCGTTAGCTCTGTTCCTCCACTTGTCTTTTCCTGTTACTGTTTCAGAATTTCTATCATCCCACTTGACAAAACAAATCGAAACTACTTTAGATCACAGGGAATTGATGCACTAAGATAACCAAAAAGGAAAAGGGTATATTTCGGTATAATTGGTCCTGAACAGGTATATTTCTATTTCTGTCTATATTTCTTATTTCTGTTGAAAGAGTTGACCTCTTTTCCTCCTCTTCTACCTTTCCGGGAGGCTTATTTTGTGGTTCTCAACTGGGGGATATGTAGCAGAATCTAATAACACAGTATGGTATAATATATAATAAATAATATATCTCA